CTGTGTAACCAGCGAACAGAGTCTGTAAAAGAGAATGACAGCAGGGTCATGCCCAGCAATGAATTCTGTAGTCCAAAACAACGTGTCTGTGACAGGCTAAGCGTATACTGCCATACAGATCCAAGCAGTTTTCAGCCTATTTCAGTTTACAGGTTAATAACTCCACATCTTTCCCCAGACAGAAATACATATACTTAACATTCTCCACATCTAACCAGTCTATCCTAAATCAACCTGGTTTATTTTCATTTCACTTGTGTTGATTGATATTGGTCTTGTGCCTGTGAAGAGCAAGGGAGACAAGCTGGAAGCTGAGCTGGCAGACTGAAGTACTTACCTGGCCATCAGCAGACCATGCCAGGGAGGTGCATTGGGGTGGCTCTGCCTTGCTGCTGGTGCTGATGACTTCTTGCTTCAGTTCATCTACTATGATCTTGCCTTCCAAGTCCTGAGAACAGACCGACCAGGTAAGGACACCTGTAACCATGGACTTAACAACACAAATTCAAGTGTCTTGCCTGACAACTACGAAGGAGACAGAAGTGCCTGGCTATGGGCCAGTTATATTGGACCCACGTGTACAATATGCACACTGTGGTATATATGCAGACAGTAATGAACTATTTTTAAAAAGACCACTTACAATTCAGATTTCCAACAGATTATGACACCTCATAAAAATAAGTCCAAAACACCAAAACAAAAAGGTTGGCCTTATCCTTTGGTATAGCACTTGCTTATCATGTGCAAGGCCCCAGGTTCAACCCCAATGATTACCCTACACAAAAAATGGCTACAGAATTTGAGGTTAGCCTAGGCTACACATACACTGGCCAAAATATAAAAATAAAACAAAACAAATGCCACCAACTAAAAAGGGGCACCACATTCACCCAGGAAAGGCCACAAATGTTCAAAGTACAGAAACAGATGGGGCCCAAAACAGCAACTTTGTGGTGGGGCGTGCACGCCTAAGGAGGTAGATGCAGGTTATCCGTGAGCTCCAAGACCAGTCTAACTTACATAGTAAGCCCCAGTCTTTTAGTTGTCTAATAATCCCTCAATAAAGATCACTAAATTGAATCTAAGCTGATACTAGAAGCATAGGGAAGGTCTCTTCTAAAACGGTTCTTGGGATTGAATTTAGGTCTCTCGTACTAGAGATACTACTGGCGGGACTGTTTTTGGTTGTCTTCATGGTGTGTGGCTGTTAACTCATCTAGTGGGTAGATGCAGACAAAAGAGCCTCTCAAGAAAATTACTTTGGCCCAAATGGCAACTATTACATTCAACAAACTGCGATACATAGGCAATCTCTTTCATTAGGCAGATGTCACCCAGTGCTTCAAGCTGTCAAGGAAGATTTCTGACAGTGAAATCAATATGCTGCACAACAGACCACACTCACCCAAATCTTGATACTGGGGCCGGTGGCAGCACAGAGCCAGTAGCGGTTGGGGCTGAAACACAAGGCATTGATGATGTCCCCACCATCCAGTGTGTAAAGGTGCTTGCCTTCATTGAGATCCCACAGCATGGCCTGGCCATCCTGGACAGACAGAAAAGGTGAGTTAGGACAGATAAAGGTAATGACTGAAGTGTCCATGTTCATGCTCCTAAGCCTTTTCCTCTAACGCACAATATTTACACCAACTTACTTTTAAACGCACATGAAAAACAACTTACTTTTAAAGGAAAACTTCTCTGGTATACCTTTCTAGATATTTTAGGATAATGCTCACAAACATTCCTGAAGTTTAGCTAATCTTTTAACTGGTGCATGCTATCAGATAAAATCATTCTTCTTAAAGAAAATGACGAACTCCCAAATACCTTGCCTCCAGAAGCACAGAGGGATCCATCTGGAGAGACTGTCACTGTGTTCAGATAGCCAGTGTGGCCAATGTGGTTGGTCTTCAGCTTGCAGTTAGCCAAATTCCATACCTAGAAAAGCAGAGGTCCATGAGTGACCAGGATTATGGTCTACATTCTACTACAAGAAAGGGACAACATCTTCTTTAAAGGTGTATCTGAACAGGCTTCTGGTGCAAGCCTATGTAGTACCATCTGAGAAGAACGGGAACACATTTGGATTTCTAACAGGGCCATGCCCTTGTTGAAGCTCACCTTGACCAGCTTGTCCCATCCACAGGAGACGATGATAGGGTTGCTGCTGTTCGGAGAGAAGCGGACACAAGACACCCATTCTGAATGACTCTCATCCTACAGAAGATAGAGGGGTAAGGTAAGAGGAAGCAGCCTTCCCCAGGCTGCAGGTAACTAAGGAGCGACAACAGCACTCTCACTTCCTCAGAACCTGAACCTTTACTTCAAGATGAACAGAACAGTTGGTAAAGACTTGTCAAGCTTGTTGACATGTGTTTGAGTCCTAGGATGCCTCCAGAGTTTACCCACTCCTCATGGAGTACAGGACCAGGTGCAGCTCAGAAACAGCCTCTGGATTTCAGCATTGCAACTCAGATGGCATGTTGGAGTCATCACTGCTGCGCCTGGCATGTAGCCCAGTACTTAAACACACCTCCAGAAGGTAGGTAGGAGGTTTAAGATCACCTAATCCTTAGGGAAATTATGGGACACATCTGGGTTTTTGCTCATGTGCAAGGAAGGGCCTGCCCAATTGATGCCCCAGCTCAGGAGAAAAATCACCTGAGTCCCATGCCACTCATGAGCAAACATGAGAGAAAAGGAAAAAAAAAAAGAAAGAAAGAAACAACCAAAATCCCAGACAGGACAAATGGCACATTATTGCAAAAAGTTAGAGCCAGATCTGAGTTCTAGGCTAACCAGGGCTACACAGTGAGGAACCCATCTCAAAAACTGCCAACAAAATCCTCAGGGAATGGTATAATTTCTAACTTGTAGCTCCTACTACTTCCATCATTTTACCTGGACAGTGTACTTGCAGACACCCAGAGTATTCCATAACTTTATGGTCTTGTCTCGGGATCCAGAGACAATCTGCCGGTTGTCAGAGGAGAAGGCAACGCTCAGCACATCCTTAGTATGGCCTACAAATCGTCTCGTGGTGGTGCCCCTAAGAGAGAGAACCTGGTCACTTTCTAGACAAATTTTTATCCATTTACAGTCAGATCCTTTTCTTGGTATCCTTGACCCAGTAGGCTTTATCACTCCACACGGCTCACATGTGGCTTAGGTGCCATTAGCAACCTATGCCTGGTATGTGCCAGAGAACCCATTCAGAATTGCAGGACATGTCCTCATTCCCTTGTGGGGATTGGTTGACAATGTCTTCTTGTCATCACTAGGATCCTCTATTACACCTGACAAATGCCGATCTAGGACAACTCTCAAGACAAAGCATTGTTTTACTAGAGTGCTGTACCTGGTTAAAAAAATGTTCAACTAGACCAGACCAGCCTCAGCTACTCCAAGAAAGGAGGCTGACATCCCAACATCTTAACCCACCCTCTACAAATGAACCAATTTCCAAGGAGATACCACACCCTAGAGAATCTACCTCAATTTTGCCCAGCTTTCCCCCAAGGTCCCAAAGCAGCTACTTGCGTTGTGAGATCCCAGAGGCGCAGTGTTCCATCCCAGGAGCCTGAGAGGGCAAACTGGCCATCAGAGGAGATAACAACATCACTAACAAAGTGGGAGTGACCTCGCAGAGCACGCTGTGGGATGCCATAGTTGGTCTCGTCCCTAGTCAGCTTCCACATGATGATGGTCTTGTCTGAAAAGGTTGGCAAAGAAATCTCATAAGGACCACCACAACCTACTTACTGCAGTTTTCAGTGCCTTAAGGTTACTGTTCTATTAGTAAGGAGAGCATCACTACATTTAGTGGGGGAAAACTTATTAGGAGTTTATTACTCCAGAATATAAAAAGGTACACCCAAGACTATGGTTACTATATTTCCTGGGACTGAAATTTAAATTCAACCAAAAATTTTTTTAATTTGCATTGAATGTTTCCCCTACATTATGCCTATAGTGTTCTAAGAAGAGAGTGTCAGATCCCCTGGAACTAGCTACAGATGACTGCAAACCACCTTGTACATTCTAGGAAACAAACCCTACCTACTCCCGTTTAAGAGTAACCAGCCTCATCTATCCACCGCTCCAGCCCAATGCTAACTCAAAGCAGAAGCTGTCACTTGGGATAAGCAGACTACCTATGGCAGCAGACACAGTCGAAGCCACAGACCACTTCAAACTGAACAGTTCTGAATACAATGCCTGATAAGCCTTACATTAGGAGAGACCGAACATAAATTTGGGTGGGTAGGGAAATCTGGGAGAAAAACAGCATTCGTTCCAAGGGATGAAAACCCAGGGCAGGAAGGCCAAGCCTAAAGACCTGGGGAACGAGGCAGCTCGAGTTTACCCACTGTCCACAGAGCGGCGGTGGCTCAGAAACAGCCTCTGGATTTCAGCAACTCAGATGGCATGTTGGGGTCATCATTGCCCCGCCTGGCTTGTAGCCCCTTAACTACATAAATACATCTCCAGGAGGCAAGCGAGAGATTTAAAATCGCCAATTCCTAGGAGAGTTACACGACACGTCTCTGTTCCCGACATGTGCAAAGGGTGGCCCAGGTTGGGGCCCAGGTTCGGGTCTGCACGACCCAACTCATACCAGGGTGGTGGGGAATGAACCGAGCCGGCCAATCTGCACGCCCCTTGCGAAGCAAGAAGGCACGCAGTCGCCGGGACCCCCAGTGTTCCGCCCGGCATGCAGCCCGTACCTCGAGACGCGGACAGGATCATGTCCGGGAACTGCGGGGTGGTGGCGATCTGTGTTACCCAGCCGTTATGGCCTTTGAGGGTCCCACGAAGGGTCATCTGCTCGGTCATGATTGCAGCTGATGCGAGTGTCGCCGCAGCGACAAGGATGGCACCGGATAGCTCGGGGAGCCAAGCACCACAGCGGCAGCCACCGCGGCCCTGCGGAGAAAAAGAAAGAGCGGCCTCCGCCGGAACCGGAAATACCCGGAGAGCAAGGCGGGGATTCCCATGATTCACCGCTGCCCAGAGATGGCGGCGCTAGGTAGTGGGAGGAGCTGGGTGAGGTAAGTCGCCGCAATGCCGTTTTTTCTGCCACGGAACGTAATGTGCCAGCGCTGTACGGACGCATTCTGAAGCCAGGTGTATCGGGTTTTAAAAAAGGCTCCTCGGTAGGTTTGAACGTGCTGTAGAAGCAGGAAAAGTGAGGCGACCCGCTCCTTGCCACACCGCTGCGGCTCCTCTCCCCACCCCCTCTACGTGGCAGAGACGGAGCTCCGCCCTTTCCGCTTGGTGTTCGGTTCCCGGGTTGGCGACAGCGACTTCAGCCATGACTTAAGGAAGTACAGTTAGAGCTGCAATTAAAGGCGTGTGTCACCAAATCTGGCCTTTTTTGGTTTTAAGACAAGGTTTCCTGTCGTGAAGGCTGGTCTTAAGTTGGCTTTGTAGCCAAGGATCATTTTGATCCTCCTGCTTCTGTCTCCCAAATTCTGGGATTATAGGCCGAGGTCGCCCGGCGCGGCTAGAGAGGAAGTACTCGGTTCAGATTTGTGAGGATTCCTCTTGGAATCCCTTTCTGTGGTTCTGACCACTCCACAGAAAAGCTATCTAGTTTGTCTTGTGTAACCCTGAAGTGTTCCTGGACAGGGAAGCAGAGGTACACAGTTGACCTGGCAACCTGATGATCTTCCTCTCAACACTTGTTTAAATATGTAGTGTCCCCCTAACGTCAGAGATCTGTCCTCAGATTTTATAATTTTATGTTTTAAAATATGTGAGTGTGAGTGCGTCTGTGCTTGCCGCAGCGCGCAGGTGGAAGTCGGTAGCTTTCTCTCCTGCCATGTGGCCTTGGCTGCAGGTGATTTGACTTCTCGCTCAGTTCAAATGTTTTTAAAAAGGAGCACCGGTCAGGATGGTAGCAACCACTAATATCTATGTGAACTAAAAGACGTATTTTTGGTTGTGAGCCCGCCTTTAATTCCAGCACTCGGGAGGCAGAGCCAGGTGGATCTTTGTGAGTTCAAGGCCAGCCTGGTCTACAGAGCGAGATCCTGGAAAGGCGCAAAGCTACACAGAGAAACCTTGTCTCGAAAAACCAAAAAAAAAAAAAAGACACGTATTTATTTTAGTACTGTTGCTTGAACTCTCACATGCTAGGAAAGAGCCTTGTGGAGTTAATCTCTCTCTCCCCTCAAGAACCTTGTTTAGTTTTTCTATGTTTTTGAGACAGTGTCCCACTTTGTAGACATGGCTGGCCTGGAACTCAAGAGAACCACCTGCTTCCGAGTGCTGGGAATGCTGGGATCCAAGGCATATATCGCCTGTCCAACCTTTTTTTTTTTTTTTTTTTTGGTTTTTCGAGACGGGTTTCTCTGTGTAGTTTTAGTGCCTGTCCTGGATCTTGCTCTGTTGACCAGGCTGGCCTTGAAATCACAGAGATCCTCCTGTCTCTGCCTCTCAGTGCCGGCATTCAAGGCATGCACCGCCACCACCTTTATTTTTTGATACAGGATCTACATAGCTCAAATTGGATTTAAACTTAAGATCCCAGTTCCTCAGCCTTCCAAATAGCTAGGATTATAGACATAGACACCAGGCCCTAGACATAAGTTTTTGTTATCCAATGTGTAAAATACATTGAATTTAGTTTCTTATCTATGAAATGAGATTGAAATTAGAACTTACATAATATGGTAGTGTGGAGAATAAAGGAATATAGGAGACTAGGCATGGTGTAAGAGGCCTGTAATCCCAGCACTCAGAAGGCAGAGGCAGGAGGATCACTATGAGTTCAAAGCCCACCTAATCTACATAACAAGTTTCAGACCAACCAGGGCTACATAATGAAACCTCATAATAAAACCAAAAAGCAGCTGGTCAGTGGTAGCACATACCTTTAATTCCAGCACTCAGGAGGCAGAGGCAGACAGATCTCTGTGACTCGAGACAAGCCTGGTCTACAGAGTGAGTTCCAGGACAGCCAGGGCTACTCAGAAAAACCAAAAGAAGAAAAGGAAAGGAAAAACAAGAAATAAAGCCAAGAAGGAATAGACAAATAAATGCCCAGAGCATTGCTTATCAAGTAAATGCTATAGAATATAGGGAGCACTTCTAAGCACTTTAGGCTTAGAATACAGCTATGAACAGGAGAAAGAAGCCAGATGGCCATTTTGTTTTGTTTGCATTTTACATATTGTGGCAGAGTAAGGCAGTGTCGTTAAGAGTGAAGTTTGGGCCGGGCAATGGTGTCGCACGCCTTTAATCTCAGCACTCAGGAGGCAGAGGCAGACAGATCTCATTGAGTTCGAGGCCAGCCTGGTCTACAGAGTGAGATCCAGGACAGCCAAGACTACATAGAGAAACCCTGTCTTGAAAAACAAAAACAAAGGTGCAGTTTAGAGTAAAGACATGGGCATGTGTGAAAGCGATCTCTTGTGGGCATGTGGGAACAAGGTTCTTGGCTGGTATCTGAGGACTGAGCAGCGATGGTTGGCACAGGATTAGGGTAGGTCCTTCGCAAGGTGCGTTGGAAGGCATCTGGAAAGGAGGTCTATGTTAGGTGGGCATAGTGGCAAAGCTGCTGCTCCCTTTGTCCAGGTGTGCAAAGGCTAGGGCTTCTTACTTGAAACCACTTGCTCTTCTGGCCTGTCGCAGCCTCCCTGGGTTCCCTGCAGTCACTTGTGGACAACGCAGGGTGCTCTCCTGGATGTGTTCCTGTACAACCTGATGAGTGCCTTTTTAGGATCCTAAGGTTGTATATCACCTGTATCCTTGGTAAACCCAACTGACTGCCTTTCATTTTTCCAAGTCTTGAGCCATTGTTTTGTTTCTCTGGTGGTCCTGGAAGTCACCTGTTCTTACTCACCCCATAACCAGTTTGCTGCCCGTTAAGTGGGTCATGCTAGCACCTTTCTGTCTCTCTGTACTGCTCTTCCTTTCTGAATTTTTTTTTTTTTTTTTTTTTTGAGACAGGGTCTCTCTGTAGCTTTGTGCCTTTCCTGGATCTCGCTCTGTAGACCAGGCTGGCCTCGAACTCACGCTGGGATTAAAGGCGTGCATCACCACCGCCCCTGTACTGCTCTTTGTAAATAGGGAGGTGAACCACTACATCCATATACTAGCCTCCTCGTTATAAACTGACATTTATTTCCATTTGAAAAAACGTCATTCTCTTTTCCACTGGTCTTGGGGATTGAATCCAGGCTTTCTGTCTTGCTAGACAAGCATGCTGCCAGTGAGCTACACCACCAGACTCTTTTCTTCCTTCTTTTTTCTCTCTTCCTCCCTTACCTCCCTCTTTTCCTCTCTACATCTCCTCCCTAAGACAAGGTGTCACCGTGCAGCTCTCTGGCTGACCTTTATCTTCCTAGTACTAAAATTATAAGCATGTTCCACCAAGCCCTGATGTCTGTTCTTTTTTCTTTATCTCTGCCTTAGGATGTCCCAAGGAATCAGCATTTCCGAGCTAGCACTGGAAGTCTGATTTAAAATGAACCCTTCCCAGACCTTCCTGGGCTGCCTGAGATAAGACTGCTGCAGATCCTTTTTCCAGAAGCTGGAGGTTGGGGTGGGGTGTATGTGTTGGGCAGTGTTGCCCACAGAGACTCTACCTTCCACAGAGTTCCTGCCTACCATGACTTTGCTCTATCTCTGTTGCTTTCCTAGGATCATGAGACCCGGACTGAGGCTTGAGACCTGAAGCTGCCATCATCCTTCTTTGCAATTCTAGCCCCTACAGGGAGAATTTAGAAGTCATTTTGGATTTCATGTTGGCTGAGATGGTGATACCAACCATAAAACAGGGATTCGTGGACAACCAGACTCTGAAGGATTGGGGTTCCTTTGCAAGTCTTCCTTCAGTTCCTTCACAGGAACCAAAGAGGATATGTGCCGACCATTATGGTTGCTGGAGGACAACAGAGCCTAGCCAGTCACCTTGTATTATTGGAGATTTCTTGAAGTGTAGCTTGGGGCATGCGCCTGAGGGACAGAGGGGCCACCTGGCCTGCTCCTCACTCACTGGAGTTGAGCATCCCTTCATCACTTATTTTCTGAAGCTCCCTACCAGCATCAGCAAATGCTCCTGCCTAGTTGGGGCTAGGGAACCCTGCTTCTGAGGGAAGAATCCGTACATTTGACTCGAGGTCAGTGAGGGTTCCCAGCTCCTTCTATCAGAGCCACCTCTCAGCCACAGGATGTTTGAGTATTAGCCATGCTTCTCCCAAAATAAGTCTGCAAATCTTGGGAATGAATGAGTCCAGCTCCCTTCTCACCCCTGGTCATTCTTCTAGTCATGTGGAGATGGAAAGCCTACTGGACACCCCCACTCCCCCCACACTCTAATTTGGTTTTGGGAAAAGATTCAGGGTTGGCCCATACCACGTCGGCTGAACCCTTTCTGGCTGTGCTCACCGTTCCTGTCCTGAAGTTCAGCTGTGCTCACCATGTGTCTGAGCTCATGAACTGCTTCCATTCCACACAAGGGAAGCAGCCCTTGAGACATTGGAAACTCAGTCTCTGTTTTGTAGAAGCCCTCAGGACCCACCCAGTATAGGCCAGTGTATGCTAGCTCTTCAGGCTGCCTGGAGCTCGGTGATCTTGGGCTCCACCCATTCTTGCCAGCATTCATTACTCTGGAGGTGGGGGCTCTGTAGATAACCAAGGGACTGACAGGTAAGTGGTCAGAATCAACTAGCCTTCTGGCTATGCAGATTCCTGGTGACTGCTTCTGTCAGGCCCCTGTGTGGTCGCATGAATCTTCCTCTGCTTCTGCCACTCATCATTTTCCTCCACATAAGCCCTTACACATTACTTTCCTGCCTAGAAGGCCCTCCATAGCCTACACTCCCTTCTCATAGCTAAAACTAAACTTCCTTGGATCTTTCCCGAGGTTGCTGGAAAGTGCTCAGTGACCCCCAGGTTAAGGTCAGGTTCCTTTGGTGCTCTCATGGCCATGCTTGTAGTCACTTGTCCTAAGCTCAGTGAATACTTACTGGACTCTTAGGGCTTCCTTTATAAGTGTCCTGGGAAGAGCATTGATCTGTTTCTGCCCACATTTTGTATTTTCAGCACCATGTGGAGGACTTGGCCTGTAAAAGACTCTAATCTTCGTGGTCAGCTTCACAGACTTACTTTTAAATGGCAAAGGGTGTTCTAGATAGAGGGATCAGCATGGGTTCAGAGTCTTGGCTTTGAGAGTTTAAGTAGTAGACAGAAACCCTAGATAGGCAGGGATCACTAGTGAGGAATGTGTTTGTTGCTAAAGAGTCAGAATTTTGTCCTGATAATAGTTCGTTCGTTCTCTCTCTCTCTCTCTCTCTCTCTCTCTCTCTCTCTCTCTCTCTCCTCTCTCCTCTCTCTGTTTTTGGTTTTTCAAGACAGGATTTCTCTGTGTTCTCCAGGCTGTCCTAGATCTCTCCCTGTAGACCAGGCTGGCCTCAAACTCAGAGATTCACCTGCCTTTGCCTCCAGAGTTGTTGAGTGCACCACCACCACCGCCCAGCTTCTCAAGTCATCTCTTTAGGTTAAGAGCAGAGAAACTCAAGACTTAGTTTGTGATTCTTCATAAAATCTTAGCAATGAAACCATTGCCCTATTGCAGTTACTTTTATTATTTAGTTCCAAGATCTTGATTTTGTATCTGCTCTGTCACTTATGGACCTTGTTTTCTCAGCTGGACATAACAGCTCTAACATTTAAAAAATATTGAGGGGATCCTGCTGCCTCCACTCAGAGTTGGAGAAGTGGAGCATTATATCTGTTAATCCACAGATGCTATGGATACTGTTAGTAAGGTTCTGGCTAGACCAGGCTGGCCTTCCACTGAACACTCTGAACACCAAGGCCATGTTCTGGCTATAGGGCCTTAGTCTACACTACTAAGTCTACAGGGCTTGCATTTACACTAGTGGTTCTCAATTGGATATTTAAACAATTTTCTTTAATGTGATGGATGTTTTGCTTATATTTGTGTCTGTGTGTGCAATGCCCAAAGAGACTAGAAGAGGGTGTGGGATCCCCTGGAAATGGTGTTACAGAGGGTTGTGAGCTGCCTGCCATGTGGGTGCTGGGAATAGAACCTGGGTTTTTTTGGAAGAGCAGCTGGGGCTCTTAACTGCTGAGCAAACTCTCTAGCTCTTTGGGGATGATTTTTTAATGTCCCCACAGGTGACATTTTGCAGTGTCTGGAGACATTTGATGCTGTCATAACTGGTGGAGGAGGCAAGTGTACCTCTGTTAACTGGAATACTGAGACATAAAGTATCTAACAACACACAGAACAGCCCCTCAACCCCAAAGAATTATCTTGTTCAAAGTATTAATTCTGAGCTTGAGAAACTTTAGTCTAGTTGAAGTGTAAACCAGGTCTTCATGCCTCTGATGTCCAGGCCCAGTCATATAAGATATAAGGCTAGCAAGTGTCTGATAAGTTGAGAAAGGAAAAATACAGAGTCATCAGGCTCTATGAAGCTGCAGGGTAACGCTAGCCTTAGTGTGTTTAAATATAATGGAAGCCTTAGAGCTAAGGTGATGATGCAGGTGGAGTTGAGGATTTGTTTTTTGTTTTGTTTTTTTTCGAGACAAGGTTTCTCTGTGTAGCTTTGGTGCCTGTCCTAGATCTCACTCTGCCACCACCGCCTGGCTAGGAGTTGAGGATTTTAGATGTAGGAAATCTGTGTGAAGATGGGGTCCATGGTGCAGCCACAGTAGAGAGGAGCAAGTTTTAACAGTCTGGCAGGTGATGCAGCAGTCAACAGCTGAACCTGGAAAGGAAGACATTCAGTAAAATGAGTGCCTGGTACGTATGATTGTACTACCCCCCCCCCCAAAGTTTTAGTAATACATACTGCTATTTTTTTTTTGGTTTTTGTTTGTTTGTTTTTTCGAGACAGGGTTTCTCTGTGTAGCTTTGCGCCTTTCCTGGAGCTCACTTGGTAGCCCAGGCTGGCCTCGAACTCACAGAGATCCGCCTGGCTCTGCCTCCCGAGTGCTGGGACTAAAGGCGTGCGCCACCAACGCCCGGCACATACTGCTATTTTAAAGGTGTAAAAAATTCCAATTTTGGCCGGGCAGTGGTGGTGCACACCTTTAATCCCAGCACTCGGGAGGCAGAGCCAGGTGGCATCTGTGAGTTCGAGGCCAGCCTGGTCTACAGAGCGAGATCCAGGACAGGCACCAAAACTACACAGAGAAACCCTGTTTTGAAAAAAACCAAAAAGAAAATTTCAATTCTGTTTCCTTCAGTGCTACTGAAAAACTCAAAGTTGAACTCCATGTAGTTCAGTTGGTAGATTACTCGCCTAACATGGATAAAGCCCCAGCTTCAGTCCCTAGCACCCCATAAAACTGGGTGTGGTGGCACATGCTTATAGTATCAAAGCTTGGGAGGTAGAGGCAGGAAGATCAAACATTTAAGATCATTTTTTTGTATATATTGAGTTCAAGGCCAGCCTGAGATACATGAGTTCTGTCTAAAAACAAAACAAGCACAACAAAAACCCCAGTATTAATTGTGTCTGGGAGTACTTGTTGCTCTTCTAGACAGCCTGGGTTGTGTTCCCTGCCTCAGTATTGGGTGACTCAAAACCACATGTAACTCTAGCTTTAGGGATCAGGATGCCCTCTTTTGCCTCCGAAGACACCGGCACATGCATAGAACACACATCGCACACACACATATTAAACATGAAGCAGCACCAGAAATAGAATGGTTTTGTAGCTATTTCACTAATAGATTTTTCTCCTCATTCATGTTCTCTGATTCAGCCTCTGAGATTTTTGTCCAGTTATAGGAGAAAAATTTACCCACTTCTGGCCTCCTTGGGCACCTGCCTTATGTGCACACTACCCCACCATTAAAAATAAAAATAAAACCCTGTCTCAAAACAAGCAAAAACCAAAACAAAACATATATGGGCTAGAGAGATGGCTCAACTGGTGAGCGAACTTAATGCTTTTCCTGTGAATGGGAGGTCAGTTCCCAGCTCCCATGTCAAGCAGCTCATGACCGGCTGTAATTCCAGTTCCAGGGCCTCTGACACTCTCAGGCACGTGAAGTCATATGAACATATCCACACACAGACATGGGCACATGTAAACATAATTAAAAATAAATTTAAAAGGTAGGTAAAACATGATCAGTCTCTTTCAGGAGTACCAAGTAAAAGGCCCATGGTAACCCTTCATCCAGCTTTATCCAGTTTTTCAGTCGTTTTCTCCTTCCTTGATTTGTGTCCTTGTGAAAAGTACATTGTACTAAGATATACCAGTATAGACTTAAATATGTACAGCATAAGTAAAGTTCCTGGAAACTTTTAATGTTCCCTCCCTTATGCTTTTAAGGAACTAACATTTTCTCTTTTATTCAGTAAAATGCTGTTTAAGATACAGTATAAGACTGTCCTGATGGTGCAGGCCTGTCTTTTCAGCTGCTTGGGAAGCTGAAGTGGGAAGATTACAAGTTCAAGATCTGACTGGACTATGATGTGAGTTCAAGGACAGCCTCCACCACTAAGAGACCCTGACTGAACACACAAAAGGAGGGCTGGAACATAGTTCAATTGTAGGTCACTTGCTTAGCATATGCAAGGCCCTAGACTCAATGTCCAATGTGGGATGTTTGAAGTTAGGAATAGCAAGCAGCTTGTGTAAAATGCTGTCTAGCCAGATCCCAGTAATGACACAGAAATTTCTTATTAATTATGAAAGCTCGGCTTGTAGCTCAGGCTTGTTATAACTTAAATTGGCCCATTTATATTAATCTGTATTTGCTACATGGCTTGTGGCTGTTACCTCTCCTGTACATCCTGCTTGCTCTGCCTCTCCTGGATCTCTCCTGTGCTTCAGTTATTTCCTCCTACTTCCTCTCCCTGCCTGGAAGTACTCCCTATACTTCCTGCCTACCTATTGACCATTCAGCTCTTCATTAAACCAATTACAGCAATATATCTTCACACAGTGTGCAACTATCTCACAACAGCGGCTACCCTAGTGGAGCCTTCAACACACTCTGAAGTCCCTTTTCTCCATTTCTGGGCTTGAGCTAAACTGTTAAGTTGCAGAGAGGAAGGGGGTTCTGCACACCATTTTGTACACACCTGACTTTGTGCTGAACAGACAGCAAGCATTTCCAGCATATGTACTGAGTAAAAAACACAAGCGACACTTGGGAGGTGGAAGCAGCAGAACTGGGATGTCAAGGTGTACTCCTGACATGCTGAGATCAAGGAGCCTGAGTAATAAATAAAGCACACACCAGACACCGATCCAGGGCTGAAGAGGTGGCTCAGCGGTTAAAAGCACTTGCTGCTCTGTGGAGGCCCAAACTACTCGGGGTCAGAGAATCTCAGCTTGCTTTACTCAGCAGGGCTCCATAATGAGATGATTTGACCACGGGCATGTTTACCAGGTGTTTGGAAGGGTCTACCCTTGGCTGTACGGTATGCTTTGATCTTGTAAGGGGGAAGTCTTTTGCCTCTCCCCCTGGCATGTTATAGAAAGTCTTTTGAATAAAGCCTGGAGGCTGTTGGGTATTGATCCAGGTCCTCCCAAAGCTATCCTGTGTTTCTGTCTTTTTTCTCGTTGGCTAGGTCTCTCTTTCTAATATTTTCTTATCCCCCTCTCTCCTCCTCCTAAGAATCCTAGAAAAGGAGGGAAAGGTTGGGGCTGGACTCCCAAGGACCCACACACTGCTCTTACAGAAGATCCCAGTTCTTAGTACTATAGCTCCAAGGCTACCTGCACACACATAACAACATAATATACATCCATACAGATACAGAAACATACACATAAGGGGCGAGAGACTTATAAGAAGAGCACCGACTGTTCTTCCAGACAGGTCTTCCAGAGGACCTGGTTCAGTTCCCAGCAACCACATGGCAGGTAACAATTTTCTGTAACTCCAACATGTGACATCCTTACACAGACATACATGCAGGCAAAACACCGATGTAAAAGAAAAAATGAAAAAGCCGGGCAATGGTGGCACACACCTTTAATCCCAGCACTCAGGAGGCAGAGGCAGGTGGATCTCAAGAGTTCAAGGCCAGCCTGGTCTACAGAGCAAATTCCCGGACAGCCAAGGCTACACAAACCCAAAAAACAAAACAAAACCAAAAAACCCAAACAAACAAATATTCACCCTGAATGTGATGGTACATGTCTTTAATCTCAGTACTCAGGAGGCTGAGGTAAGCAGATTCTTTGAGTTCAAGGCCACCCTGGTCTATCTATGGAGTTCCTGGACCACTAGGGCCACACCAAAAGACCATGTCTCAAAATAAACAACAACAACAACAAAAAATTACACTTTTGTTGGGACAATATTTTTGGTCTCAAATCCTGTACCCAAGGATGATCTTGAACTCTTGATATACCTGCCTCTTTGTCCCAAGAGCTGAGGTTACAAATGTTCCTGTTCCTGTTTTATAATGTTTTTCTTCTCTTTTTCCCCCTTTCTCTTTAATATACTGATCCAGGTCTAGTTCTTAGGACTAACAGGAGACAATAGTGTTGTTGACAAATTTGTAATCTGCTGCTGTCAGTTTGCAGAAAAGAAGTCCCAAACAGCAGTAAATCATTAAAATTCTGAAGTGTCTTGTAGACCAAAATGGGACAAGGTTAGTTAACCACTTCCATAGCGTTTGAAGAAAATACTGGATTCGAGAGTTACTGGAATTGGCCGTGGAAAATTAGGGTTATGCTTGCAGCCGTTTCAAGCTGAAATTAGCTACTGTGACAATGTGCCGCTCCACAGGCCACCCATATTCCCAGGGGCTTTTCCTTTCCTAGGTGGGTGCTGGCAGAGGGTGTGCTCAGTGTTTCCTCTATAGCTGTGTAGCCCCAAAGCCAAAATGAGAGAGAGAGAGAGAGAGAGAGAGAGAGAGAGAGAGATGGGGTAGGTGAACACTTTGCGGAACTACAAGGAAAACACTCCCTTTCTGGCTTCATTTTTCCTCATGTTTAGAGACATAGCATGCTCAGGGAGTCTCAAGTATAACTTGAGTGGAATGTTTTCAGGTCTCTTGAACTGACTGAGAGCTGTGGTGCCTACTGGTGTGCGTCTCCATGGCAGGCATGAGCTGCCCATCTTTTGGTGCTTAAGGGACACAACAGAACCACCTCTCCAGCTGCTCTGCTCTGATTCATCATGTGCATCTAGAAGAATCTTCTCCGTGTCCCCATTGTGGAGGTTTCCAAAAGGAGGTGCTCCAGCTCCCCCTCCCCCAATCTCCTATTGTCTGGACCGTTGCCATTGCTACAGTTCATGGTTAACTTCAACTCGGGAGTGTTGAGAGTCACTGGTGTGGCCCAGGCTGCTCTTCCATCGGATATTCTAGCCAGGAATTCTGTCCCCGAGCATCTTTTGTTCTTGTTTTTCAAGTTTTTGTTTGTTATTGCTGGGCAGGGACAGCAGAGGCTCTGCTAAATGAGAGACTACAGGAGATGACTGGTGGAAGAACTGCCGTGGCTCCAGGGTGACCGTCACAGTTAGCTTCAGCTGTCAACTTGACACAAACCTAGAATCAGCTGTGTTGCAGGAATCTTCAAAGTTCTTATTAATAAAATCAAACCTGAGGCAAGTTATTGGGATCCATGCTGGTAGATCAGAGAGACAGAACAAGCCACAGCTATCTCACCT